CACGCTGCCGCGGACCTCCTTGCTCCGAGCCCGCCTCAGCACCCTGGACCGGAACCACGGCGGCGGCTCCCCGGAGCGCCTCACCCCGAGCCCGCCGCCCTACCCGGAGCCGCCTCACCACGCGGCGCTGCCCCCCTCGGGGGAGCCCAGAGTGGCGCACTGGCCCGGGCCGATGCACCGCCCCGACCGCCTCACGGCCGCGCTTCGGCCATCTCACCGCGCCGCCGCGCAGCAGCACTTGGGCTACCTGGGCCGCCTGGCCGGGGCCGGGCCGCTGCCTCCCCGGGGCCCCGGCTTCCCAGAGCACCCCCCGCCGAGCCCAGACGAGCCCGCAGCCTTGCCGCCCGAGTGAGCTGCCACGCCACCACGGCCACTCCGCCTGCCAGGTGGCCTCGCGCCACCGCCAGGTGCCCCACCACGTCCTCTCGTGCATCCCTTTCCCCCACCCTCTCCACACCTGTCCCCGTCCCCACCCCGCATGCCCCCAGGCTTATTTCCTGTACCACTCCTTTCCAGATGTGCCCTCGCATTATTAAACCCATTTTCTTGGCCACCCTCTCTCTCTAACCTTGCCTCTCCTCTCGGCTCTTTATACCAACACTCTTTCCAAAGACTTCAGTTCCCGCGCCCGCTGACTTCCCCGCTACAGGTCCCTCCCCGCGCCGGGCCTGCCCTTAGGCCACGGCGCCACGGGGCTCTATAACCTCAGCTCCAAGTCTTGGTTTAATTGTCACCTCCTTAGTGGCACTCATTCCATTTAGTATCCCGCGTTTCAAAAAGTTCCATTATTTTTCGAGTCCTTTCCATACTTTTTCTAGTCATATATCAATCAATCTCGCTCGCTCTTGCTCTCTCCCCACACACACGTTCTTGTGAGCTTCTAGCACTCCTGATTCGAAACGTCTTTTTTTTTAAAAAATAGATCTATATATAGCATTAATTATATTCTAGCATAGTCATGTGTGTTTGTAACACACTATACCCACCGCGCCAGAATGTAAGCTCCCTGACTAAATGAATTTTTGTTTCTTTTGGCAATTAATTCATTTCTAGTTTTGAACAGTGCCTAGATATAAGAGGCACTTAAATATTTGCTATAGTTAACGTGAGTATTCCGTATTAGTTGTGTTTTATGTATCTTTTTTAGAAACTTTGAACCTACTATATCAAAATAAAGCATAAAATCCATTGGGCTATTTGCCTATAGCTTAGATTGTTGTAGCATATTTCCCATAACGATGCTACGTTAAAAAAATAGTGTACAAATATCTATACAAATAGTACTATTCCATTTGGTGATATTCATAAAACTAGTCATGTATTATGGTGCAGTATATTACTTCAAATAACCCTTCTATATTGAGGGACATAGGAGTCCCTGGCACAATGGGCTAAGAGTTGGGAAGCTAACCATAAGGTGGGCAGTTCAAACCCACTCACCTCTCCATGAGAGAAAGATAAAGTTGTCTCCTCCCATAAAGATTTATAGTCTTAGAAACCCAAAGAAAATTCACTGTCTTTACAGGTTCACTGAATCAGAATCCACTTTATGGCAGTAGGCTTGGTTTTTTGGGGGGTGGGATAGGTTATTAAGAGCTCTAAGTCCCTCTTGGCATTCCTACAAAATGATTAGGTGACACTACATAAAAGATTGGGCTCTCTCTTGGACAGCCTGTTAACAATGAAAATAAAGGGGAAGGTGTAGCCCCAGAGGGCCGTTCCCCTAGGTTTAAAGATTTCTTTCTTCTCACCGCCCTCAAGTATATTCCTACACCCAGCCATCCTGAAAGTCAGGGTAGAATTACGTGGGTTTCCAAGACTGTCTCTCTTTCCCTTTACCCACCCAACCCTGCCTGGCCTTTTTTTTTTTTTTTAATCAACAATGCTCTTTGTTTGATATCAGGGCTGTTGCCATTCCTAGTCTGGACAGTAGGGATTCAACACTAACCCTTTTCGCGAGTAGAAAGCCTGGTCTTTCTTCAGCAGAATGGCTGGTGGTTTCAAGCTCCCGAACTTGTGGTTAGCAGCCCAAGGTATAACCACTATGCCTTAACCACTATGCCACGAAGGCTCCAGGGTTAAGAGATAAGTCCACTGAACCCCAGATATGGAGAGAGACCTCAGTATCAAGAGGTGGCAAGAAATGGAACACGGCCTTGTGGCCCAAGGTCCTGGTGCTGAGAATCTCCAAGTGGACAGTTGTAACACTGAAGCCAGGGACAGAGCAAACACAACAGTCTCTAGTGGTAGATGGTGGCACCAGAACCAGGAGACTGTCACAGAACAGCAAAGTGGCTACTGTGCATGCCAACCCACTGAGCAAGAGACTGCTAAGCATGAACATCAGGCAGGAGACTCACTGGTAAAGCTAAAAAGCACTTTGTAACACTGGCCTGAGAAAGGCTGAGGACTGAGCAAAAGTGATCTCTCGATGAGCACCACCCAGAAGAAGCTGTCTTGATCAAAGAACTGTATCCAGTGATTCCTGATCCTGGGCTGTAGACTGCTACTTCCTTCCCAAAGAAGCTACAGAACTGTAAGTATGTTCTATAAATTCTATATAGTCATTGCAATGACGTCTCAAACCTAGCAGAGACCTAAAGAGTGCCGTGGAAGGGGGGTGGCTGGTGTGAGAATTGGTTAAAAAAAAATTTTTTTTTTAAGGTTGGAAGATAGATTTAAAAAGTGGAATCCTCACAGGAATCCATACTACGTCAATGGTGGTGATAATTCTCTCTCCCTGTGTGAAGTTAGGTGAGGTGTTTCCCATCTTAAAAAGGGGCAAACTGCAATCCAATGATCGGCCTAGAGAGCTGCTGCAGATTGCTGTGCGTGGACCTAGGAATCGGGGAGTGACCTGAAATCAGGGAGCAGGCTTCATGGAGGAATGATGTTATCTGACACAGCGAGTACAATAGGATTCCCTGTGTCCTATCCAGGTCACCAGCCAGTCAATCAGAGCCCCACAGGTCACCAGCCAGTAGTCAATCAGAGCCCCACATTCTGATAGTGAGAAACCTGGATTAATACTCTCCCTAAATGAGTACATTATCACAATTAAAGGAGCTCGTTTCAGTCTTACTGAGATGGATTAATTAAATTAGAACAACAGTAGTAACATTTGAGGTGTGGTTAGGAAGGTGACCATACTCAGTATTTTTGCATGCTTGGAATGTGTAACATTTTAACCTGAAGTCAAAGTTTCTACCTACCTGAGCAGTTGATTTAGACATGTGATTTGGTAATTGAATAGCTAAGAGAACTTTATGCTTATCGTATTTATAAATTTAAGCTATGAAAATGCTAAGAATTAGTAGTAGTAGTAGTAGTAGTAGTAGTAGTTGTAGTAGTAGTAGTGAACTGTTAATTACAAAGCCAGACTTTAAATGGAAATAGACAAAATGTAAATGAAAGGGCTTCAAAAAGTTTGTGGGAAAACATTTTTCCACAAACTTTTGCAACCCCCTCAAACATGCAATATTACCTAAGGGAGAATGAATGTAAAGTTTTTATAAGTTAACGTGATTTCATATCGCTTTAACCAAAACGGACGGCTTACTAGTCTTTTCTGAGCAGAAACACTGCCCTTGAGGGCACTATGAAACACCTGTCAATTATCTTCCCCAAAGGGTTACAGACAACCATCTTCCCATGCAGAACGTGAGTGTGCCCGTTTCCGGGCTCCTGGCCAGCACTCTGCTTCAAACCATTTTAATGTCTGCCAGTTTGATGAGGAAAAATGAGATCTTATGATTGCATGGACTTGCATTTACACCCAAGGTTTACCAAGTTGTATTGATCATTCTGATGTTCTTTATGCATTGCCTGAGCTTAGGTTTTGCCATTTTTCTCAATCAGTACATTGGCACAGAACTGAAATCGTTTTCCCAATTTAGCATGCATCCTTTGACTTAAGGATAATGCTATTTGTCATCAAAATAGATACATTCACCTGGTCTTTTATGGATCTTAGTTTCTACTTCTATTTCATGAAAAATTTTCTTAGTATTCTATTGTCTTGTTATGCTTGAATTTCAACTTACCTGTAATTTCCGTAAGGACGGGTGTAGTTTTGTTTTCTAATAGATTACTGTCTTGTTCGGCTTCAATTTTAACTTACCTTTAATTTCTGTAAGGAGGGGTGTAGCTTTGTTTTCTGATAGATTAATAATTCCAATATTTAGTTACACATCATTCCTATATATATTTGGATCTATTTCTATACTTTTCTGTTTCTCTGATCTACTGGGAGCTTCAGTTTTCGTAGTTGGTTGTTTTGAAAGTGCACACACACACACACACACCCTTCCAACCTACACCTTTTTTTGGTTCCTTTTCTAGCAAGCTACCTAACATGTTAGTTTCTCAGCTGCCCTCTCAGCTAGGGGTTCCAGTTTGCTATCAGGGCTCCCATGAAGCTCTTAGAATTGGCTGATGTGCCCTTTTGATCCCCAGAACACACCACAGCCTTAGATGAGCACAGGCACTGGAGTCTGGCGATCAGAAGGTAATCTTGCCCCAGCGCTTCCTGACCGCAGACTCCCACAAATTGCTTGTACCCATTTTGTGCTTCAGCATGTTCATTTGTAAAACAGGGGAATGATTATCACCTATTTCAAAAGCTTGTTGAATGATAAAGGAGCTGCTTATAAACATAACATAGAAGAAACACCATTTAAGAAACATTTCTCTATCAATAAGTACATATTCATGTGATTCTTAATAAATGATTAGGTGGAAGTAACCTTATTTAATCTCAGATTGATTAAATTGTTAACTTATGAAACATTTGTATACAGATATATAATTACCAACATATATATAATAGTTCTACTCCACACATAGGGTTATCATGAGTCAGAAGCAATTCAATGGCAACACAGAAACATACATATATATATATTATATCTTAAATGTGGGAGGCATGTATAATTGGCTGCATATTATTTTACAAAATTAGGATATTTTCCATATAATGACATAAAGATAGATTTACTTACCCACTGAAAGATAGGTCTTTTTCTTCCAGTTATACATACAAATAGCACTTGATTGCCCACACTGGGAAACAGGCACATTTCCGCAGACATTTATTTTATAAAGTATGTTACTTTCGATATCAACAGCTTCCCATGTATAGCTGAAGAAGAAAAACCACATATCACTGTCAATGATCTGTCAATATTTAAACTTCTAGCTTTACACCCCAGCCACATATGCTTAAAGCTACCACAAAGTAGGAGGCATAGTTGATTAATCAAAAATACTACAGTTAAGAGTATGTTAAGTTTAATAGAAGCCAGGGCAGAAACCACGAAGCCACCTCACTCTGGATACGCTAAATCTGTTCAGAAGCCAGCCCAGGATTCTACAACCATCAGATTACTATCTTTCTATTACTAATTTAAGAATATTAACTTATAGAAGTAATTACTCTAAAGTCAAGTTTAGTGTAAGACAGTACACCTTCTCTCCTCACTAATGGGCTGTCAATAACCAATATTTCACATTTCTTAAAAACTGATGTGACCTTTTGCAATTTCAGTCCAGCTCTGAACTGAAGTTGTGCAATGAAACAACTATTCTGATTCACACCACGCAAAGGTGTATGACCTCTGGGTCTTTAAGACAGGTACCAAAGGTACATGGGCCATAACCGGAGCAAAGCGGTACCACCTTGAGAACAGAAAGCACTACATTGGTGAAGTGACTGTTCATTTCCCAGAACTCACCTTCCACTGTACATCGGGTAATGAATGACTCAGCACAAAACACCAAGCAGCCCACCATTCCTTGCCTAGATGCTTTCTGGTATGTCCAGCAAGAGAGGAGTCATTCCTGTTGGCACACAAAGTGCCCAAATGTTCCCATAAACCTAGTCTGGGACCTGATCAGAGCCTCCTGCCAAGAAGTCCAGCTAGCTAAGCACATGTAGGGTAGGGTTGCAGAGCATTCCCCTGAAGGTTCTGACAGCCACGTAACGGCCACAAACCTGAAAAACAGGCTGGGTTCATACCAGTGGCATCAACTTCTAACATCAGTAATAGCTGAGAGTCATCTCCTAGAGTTAGGTTTAGACAACATGAGAGAATAACCCAAGTACTACCAAGCTCAGAGAAGGTCATCAGCAAAGGCTTGTCTCCTAGGGCTCTCATTAACTTTATTCATTTGCTTCACAAATGTTAAGCCCTTGCTATGTGGTAAGCACTGGGGAATAAGTAGAGCAATGAACCATATAGTCGGAAAGGTCTGCTCTTTTGGAGTATAAAGTCCACTGAAGAAGGCATAAAATAGGCACCCAAAAATTGCACTGGATAATTCCACCAACTAGTAGCTGCTCTGAAGAGATCAAAAAAGTGTAAAGTGATAAGAAATAACGTAGTGGCTACTGTAGACTGGTAAATTTTCTGAGAGTTTATTTGCACTGAGACTTGAATGACAGAAAAAGGAAAAACCCAGGTGGAAATGGCGGCCAGGGGGATTGCTACAGGCAGAAGACAGCCGTTGCCAAAGTCCCGAGGCAAGAATGAACTTGACCATTAATGCAGGAGGGAAGGGTTACAGGACTGTGGGTTGGAGGAGTGGTCCAGATGAGGTCATGGAGGTTTGGGTGAGGGCCCAGTCACAGAGGCCATACAGATAGAGAAGGCCATGGGATCTTATACTAGAAACAAAAAGGAAAGCCATTCAAAAACGCTGTTTTCCATCATTTACAAAAAAATTAAGTTTTTATTGTGGTTTAGATGCAAGTTCACAAAGCAAATTGGCTTCTAAGTCAACAGATTAAACATAGGTCATTCCATGGCAATGGCTGCAGGGCCCCTCAGGGTGTCAGCACTCCCCCCAACTTTCATCTTGAATCCCCTATCTCCATTCACCCAGCTTCTCGGCCTTCTGACTTTTACTTTTTCCCCTTTGGGTTTCTTCCAGTTGAATATTCTGAGAAGCACATTCCGCAGGGGTGTCAGTGTTCACTGTACAGGCCTATTGTTTGGCTGTGAGGTGGTCTCACGGGCTGGGTGGGTTCAGTTCTAGGTTTGAAGGGTACCCAAGGGCCAGAGTCTTGGAGGTTCCACCGACTTGAATTTTATTCAACATTTTTCTCGCCAATCTGGGACCTTCTTTTGTAACGCTGGTCAGAATTGTCTGTAGCAGTAGTTGAGCACCATCTGTTTCTTTTAGTCTCAGGCTAGCGAAAGGGCGTGGTTCTCTCTCTTTTAAATTTTCTGCTAGTGTTTTTATTTGCAGCATGCTAGTAAAACTTTTCCATTATCAACTGCTGCTTTGGCAGTCACGTTTTTAAATAAAGTAAGGATAAGAACTATGTGTGCTTGGGAAGCAGAAAACCTGCTTATTTGGAAATCGGGGTTCCTAGAAAGGAAAACATTGCTCTATTCGATTCTAATTCTGCTCCCTATCCTCATTTCGTGTTTGCTTTGTCAAAATATACCAAAATGATAAGTGATGTGGGATTACGAAGGGAGGACCTATTAAAGTGCTTCCCTGTTGGCTTTTTTAAAGGGGGGTGAATGAGCAACAGATGGCAGGGCTGCCCTCCTTCCAGCTGGGCCCTTCAATGCCATGCATAAACCCCATGTGCGCTGGAGGCAACTGGACCTCATACTCCTCTGCCCACCCAGCCTTTGCCAGTAACTTCATGATATGACATGACAAAGTAAGAATACAGCAGTCACAGACTAAAAAGAAGAGCCTGTACCAACACGAGTGTGAAAATGCCCACCGAACTTTGTCACGTCACATAAAAATGAAGAGGTGGCCCGGCCCCATTGCTAAGAGTCAATACTTGGAGACCTTCTGGAGAGCAAGTGCTCGACCCATAAGTGAAACTGCCTGGTGTAAGTAACATTTTGAAGAATTTGTTTTTTCCATGTAAAGCACTTTAAGAAAGGATTACTTTCTATTCCAATCCTGAAAGTGGTGAAACATGCTACAGTTTAAATCTCGTCACAACCAGTGTCAACCAAATGGCGAACTGGAGATGGCATAAAAGATTCTTGAGTTCCTGTCATGCTGTGGAGTAAAAGATCAATTTGATTTTAATAAAATTCTAACAAAACAGAAAAGGCCATCCCTTTCCAGCTACTTGCTTATTGGAAGAGATACTTGTAGGAACACTTCCACTTTTAGCAATTGTTCACATGGACCAAATCATCTGATAATGACGGCCCTTGAGGAAAAGGCTGTGAACTTTCCTCATATATGGGGACAACACCACATGTCGCTGATCGACACATCTTAGGTTGTCCCTAGTCAGAGTTCTTCCTCAGACTGTAAACTTGGGCCATCCCTTTACCCCCGCCCCCCGCGTCCAGTTCTGCTTTCTCTGTTTCATCAGCTTGAATGGACAAAAATGAAGCAGCCCGTCCAACAACCTCTCTCTCCCTCTGTTGGTGTTCCTGGAAAAACTATCAAGCGGCCTCCTCTCTGCTTGCACTCTCCTTTGCAGCCATGTTGGGCTGTGCCCTCCACTGTCTCTGCCCTTCTCGGCTCAGCCGACAGTGGCCGTGACAAAACCCTCACCAAGAGTCCGGCCCCAATTGTCATCAATAACTCTGAAACGCTATCCTCAAGCCATCAGCGCCACAAGAAACGGAAGAGGGGCAGAAGTTGCACACGAGGCAAGTGACGTTAAGAGATCTTGGGTTTTAAACCTGAATTCTGTGGTCGAAATACACCTTAGATGTGGATAATTCTACTAAAAGTATAAGCTAAACATATAGGCTGGATCCTTCCCTTAGTTACAGGAATTTTAATGCCGTTTTCCTCCTGACTCGAACCACATGGCTTCTGCTGAAACTATCTTGGAATACTGTAGTCAGTCTGCATCTGTTCAGTGGCACAGAGGTTCCATTTTAACCTCGTTTGGTTTAAATTTCATAATATCCTGAAAGATGCTGGCAGATGACCAATTAGAAGAAAGCACACAAGTCATATACTGTCAAGCCACCTAGAGACAGGAAGGCGTTTCTACTCTCCCAGCACCACTCCAACAAATGCCACATTGAAAACCAGCGCTCCTCAAGACGAAACCCGTCTGGTGGCAGCAGTGCAAAACAGCAGAGTGAAAATGTCAACTTTTCAGCCATGTAGAGCTAACTGGCCAACACAACTGCTTATAATTTAGAAAGTTGACTTAATGAGAAATGCAGGGCCAGTGCTACCGAGTAAGTTATAAATTTTGACCTAAAAGGAAAAAAAAAAGTTCTAAACCGAAAGCCCTCAGGGTTCAACTGTACAGTATTTATAACTATTTCACGTTGATGGATTACTGTGATGCCTTTCAAGATTTTCATATGTCGTTTCTGGATAGCTGCAATACAATGAATGCAACGTGTCGCTTTGCATTTGTTTTTTAAAAGAGCTAGCATCTGAAGTATATAAAATGCAATTATAAAATTCACAGTATGCTCAATCCAAGAAAAAAAATCTTAGCCTGACTCCTACCCTCCAACACAACACATACCCATAAACTGTAATTCTGTTCTCTCATTTATCATCACATATCCATATTACTTTGAAATATCATAGTTCCCTCACTCCCTGTGAACCTTCGTTTTATGGTAATGGTCAAGTAGCTATTAAACAGTTTATTACTGACCTACAATTATCAGTATATAAAGCAGGATAGAAGCACAGTGGACTCTGTAGGAAAATTAATAAATATATGTGAATCTATAATTTAGTTGCCTTAAAAAAAATTCCCTGTTGGACCTATATGAGCTAAATTCATATAATACGTGGGAATGGGCTAGGGGTTTTGTTTCCCCCACCCCAAAAAGCAAATCCAAAATTTCAGGGACAATGGAAATGCTAAGTCTTTCCTACCTGAACATCCCACAAGATTTTCCTACTTTGGGCATGTATCCAAGTACTTGAACAGGAGATTCAAGAAATCATTTAGCTCACTACTGCTCCAACTCAAACATCCAATCCACTGGCCTTCGAAAATCTGGAACAGTCCGAAATTGAGCAGGAAAAGAAATGACAAGGAAGAATAAGGGCATAGAATGAAAGAGGCAGGCCTCCCCAAACGGGTATTTGCAGCAGAATGTCAAGTTCATAATGTAACCACTGTTGTCAACAACTTTCTACTGTTGACACTAAGAAAAAAAATTTGAT